TTTGTCGTTGTCTAAGACTGATCACCAGGGCGAAGACTCCTGGCAACCGTATGACGCACGACACCCTCACCTGTGTCCTGTACACCTGTGTCCTGTACACCTGTGTCCTGTACACCTGTGTCCTATACACCTGTGTCCTGTACACCTGTGGCCTGTACTCCTGTGTCCTGTACACTTGTGGCCTGTACACCTATGACCTACACACACACACACACACATAAAGGTAATCGGCGACTTCCATTACGATTTGACTCTACCATTGCCATCATTAGTGTAACTGCCACCATTACCATTACCTTCCAGCGGCCTCACTGCCACTGTGTGTGTGTGTGTGTATGTGTGTGTATGTGTGTGTGAACCCAGAAATTTTAACATGGAAATTATTGTAATTTTTATTTCCTTGCATAATGACGAAAGCTGAGGTCCCTGAGGCTTTCATGGTAATGGTAGTATGGGAGTCTTATTATGCGAGTCATATTATGGGAGTCTTATGGTAGTATGGGAGTCTTAATAGGGGAATCTTATGGTAGTATGGGAGTCATATTATGGGAGTATTTGTATAAGGCTCCACAACCTCATCAGCCTTCACCAGTAATACCTATTGAGCTGGCAATATCTCCACTATAATTCCATATAAGCCTCACCTGGTCACCTCCTGGTAATGTTATTTGTCACACGGGGCGTTGACTGTCATAATGATAATAATAATAATAATAATAATAATAATAATAATAATAATAATAATAAAGTAAATTATGAGTTTAGCGTAACATAATTATTAACACTAGTTCAGATATATAAACAAGAGACACGAGGCGGATAGGAAGGAAATGTATGTTTACGTCGGGAGTGTTTTAACCCCAGGATGACCACTGCCACGAGGCCACCATCACTCCCTGAGCTAGTAAGTCGATGAAGACAATGTATTGCCTTGTCACAACCTTTATATAAATCCTATAGAAGTTCTTACATCAGTAAACACCGTGAATTCCTTCTCTGTGTTATTTTCAACAAGCATGAACGCAAGTAGATGAATGTGGCTGACGTCTGATGTGTTTTAGTTCAATATTAGTTAAACACACACACACACACACACACACACACACACACATACCAATATATTTATGAGAAAATAATAAAAATATAATTAATAGTGTCTGTGTGTCTGTTTGAATGTTGTCGAGGTGTTTGTGTGTTGTCACTATCGATTTAGCAAACTTAAGACTGACACCTACAAAATATGTTGGCATTGTTAGTTGGTTGGTAATACTAACACCTGGAAATAATGCAGTAATGTGTTGGCACTTTTGTCTGGTAACACTGGCACTAGAAAAATGCGCTGACACTTGTAAACAAAATCAACAGTCAGAAAAACATCAACACAGTCTCACCCCTCAACACACCGGGACCATCACCCACCTAGCCTAACCTAACCCAATCTAACCATATCTACAGTGCCTTAACCCCAGCCTAAATTAACCTAACCTAACCTATACCTTGGGTGGTACACGGGGTTACCTGGTGATTTACGTGGTCAGGTGAGACGGCCAGGTGACTCTTCTAACCTTTTATATTGTACAATTTATGAGAGAGACAACATGTTAAGGTAATGTAGTGCATATATCAGTGTCTGGGCTGCCGGGCCTCTGTGTGTGTGTGTGTGTGTGTGTAACCCCATCACCCTTCCCTTCTTCTTCCCTCTCCTCTCCCCCTTCCCCACTTCCTCCTGCCCCTGTCCCTCCCCACCCTCCTCACCCATTCCCTCCCCAGGTGAAGAGGTGAGCCTGGTGGGGTACTGTACAGGTGAAGAGGTGAGCCTGGTGGAGTACTGTACAGGTGAAGAGGTGAGCCTGGTGGAGTACTGTACAGGTGAAGAGGTGAGCCTGGTGGGGTACTGTACAGGTGAAGAGGTGAGCCTGGTGGAGTACTGCACAGGTGAAGAGGTGAGCCTGGTGGGGCTGTACAGGTGAAGAGGTGAGCCTGGTGGGCTGTGCAGGTGAAGAGGTGAGCCTGGTGGAGTACTGTACAGGTGAAGAGGTGAGCCTGGTGGGGTACTGTACAGGTGAAGGGTGAGCCTGGTGGGTACTGTACAGGTGGGGGGGGGCGCTACTGCCTCACTCCCCCCTGTGTTAACCGGATGTCACCCTCTACCACACCCTTTACCGAAGCCTCCACCACACCCTTACCCCACTCTCTCCACACCCTTACCACACCCTCAAACACACCAGTTGTTTGTTGTGTGGTTAAAAGGAGCTACAGTAATTACCTCAACCTGAGGAGCGACTTAGCCTCCCACACGTTGAGTCTATTATGGTGTAAACAGAAGACGTAAACAACCAGTATAACTTACCTGTTATCTTGAGTCTTAACAAGATATAATGAGCGTTGTTTAGTTAAGCTTTTGTTGTACACCTTTTAATATTACTCTCAGAGGCAAGAGGCTCCCTGATTGGTGTTTTAGAATCAGCTGAGATTCAGACTCGTGAACCCGAAGCAGTAGACTGATACATTATTCAATCTATAAATGTTTCGGATTCACGAGTCTGAAGCCTCTAGGGGTTGGTGGTTCAGGAGAAGTGGACAGACTTTAGCAGTTAACTATATAATGTGTCTCCATACAGTCATCCGCTATGATAACTGGTTACTGTTGACTGGGTCGTTCACAAGTGGTCATTATCGTCCAGCACGCGTCAGTAATTGTCATGATGGGAAGAGAGAACATGCAGGTAATGACAGAGAGGTTATATATGTATTAATAACACGTAATAACTGTTGGCATTTAGTCCACAGGTAACTTACACACACAGGTAAAGTAGTGACTCATTCTCTCACATACATAGTTTCACCCTGCTTGCGAGGCGAACATGCTGACCATTATATCACAGGTCGCCACATACACACATACAGTCACTCACTATATAAGCACATTCTTTCACGTCATAACAAGAACCTAAAACATTATATCTGTCTGTCTGTCTTTATGGTGCTATTTATGAGCTTTATATATCACCATAAAACAAACCAAGTAAGGAAGTAATAAATATTCAATACCTTCTATAATAATAAGATCGCAATTGTGAAATAAATGAAAGAAATAAACTTCTCTTCCTTCTTTTCCATCAACTCTCCCTGACAGACTCTGGTGAAATAATTAATTCATAGTCTTTGTTATATTCCACACATCGTCTGTTCATTGTGCTTGTTAAACGCCGTAAACCTCCATTGGGGATTGCCCGTCCAGGATTCGATTCCCCATTAGTGAGGTATTGTTTTATATACTCTCTTGCTCTCTCTATCTCTCCTATATTCAGAGGCTGACGAGTGTGAGTCTTAAAAAAGTTATAAAAAAAATTCCTTTTGTCAATTTTAGTGACTCGAAACTTGATGACGTCATAGCGAGTAGGTGGAGAGTGACGTAGGTTCAGATTCAACATGATGTAAGATTGAATTCCTTTATATCTTCGGTATATGTGTTTCGATCCTCCAACAGTGTCGCCATCTATTGAAACGATATTATATGGTATCTTACTCCGTCTATGATGAACGAGTACAACACTAACTCTGGCTTGAGAAAATTATCAGCTTAAATGACTTAGAGGAATAATGAAGCACCGGTTGACTGAACAACAAACACACTCTCTCTGGACGTTCAGTAACAGCGAGGCTCCAGCGGGCGTGAGGATATGTAATTGATGTATCATTGTCAAGTGAAGTGTGTTCATTAAAACAATACGTCTCACCTGCTAACTGCTTACTGTCTACTCGTTGTGTTACCTGCTTACTTCTGTACTTCTTCTGCTGGGTTAACTACAACTCTCATTACCTTAATTAATCTATATAACCCTCTAACTAATCTATCTCTCCAGCCTACATGTTGAAATAACCACCACGAATTAGTTGGGATTTTATTTCTAGTCTTTAATACGTTCTCTAAAATATGTGAAGGATAACTACACTAATCTTCTCGTTCATCTCCCAGCGAGGGTGTTCATTAGCTTAGGGTTACATAGAAGAGCATACCATCTCTATTATATAAACTGGAAGAGCAATACCATCTCTATTATATAAACTGGAAGAGCAATACCATCTCTATTATATAAACTGGAAGAGCCATACCATCTCTATTATATAAACTGGAAGAGCAATACCATCTCTATTACATAAACTGGAAGAGCAATACCATCTCTATTACATAAACTGGAAGAGCAATACCATCTCTATTACATAAACTGGAAGAGCAATACCATCTCTATTATATAAACTGGAAGAGCAATACCATCTCTATTACATAAACTGGAAGAGCAATACCATCTCTATTACATAAACTGGAAGAGCAATACCATCTCTATTATATAAACTGGAAGAACAACTCAGGGAATACGAACACAAAAATTATTAAAATCTCTTGAATTATTTTCTAATTGTTCATTTAACATAATCAGGTACTATAAGAGGTGTGGGCGAGTAACACACACACACACACACACCAACCTGACAAGTGACTACATATGTACCAATAATACACATACAGACACATGTACACATAAACATCCATCCTTCTAAAATGCACACACACGATGATTCCTCAGGTTTTATTGTTTGTGTGTACCAGTGATAAATCCACATATACGCTCGTGCACACAATATTACAGCATTAACACCATAACACATCTTCACTACAACATCATATCTCCACTACAACACCATAACACATCTTCACTACAACACCATAACACATCTCCACTACAACACCATAACACATCTTCACTACAACACCATAACACATCTTCACTACAACACCATAACACATCTCCACTACAACACCATATCTTCACTACAACATCATATCTCCACTACAACACCATAACACATCTCCACTACAAAACCATATCTTCACTACAACATCATATTTTCACTATAACCTCACTATAATTTTTACCATGTAGTCGTTTTTCAAATTCAGGTCTCTCTTGCCTCTACACATCACTCACGTTTTCACGATGGCTTCCCGACCTATCTCAGAGAGAACTGTCCAGGCCCTGCTGCAGGATTGCGAGCAGTTCTGTGTCAATATGTTTGGCGTGAATGCTTATGAATTCATTGCCGACCCAACCTGCTGCAGTCGCTTGGGTGAAGGAATACACGGGATCTGTAATAAGGTCCAGGTTTCACAAAGCCAATGGGTTATTAAGCTCGCTTCCGATGAGCTTCAAAATATAAACGGTCTGCAACGAGAGATCGAAGCCATGTCCTCCCTCCACGGTGTCCCTGGTGTTCAGAAGGTGATCGGGGTTTGTCCTTGGAAACTCACCATGATCACTGAGTTCGCCGGGGATTCCCTAGAGAAGTATCTCAAGACCCACACCTGCACCACCGAGGAGTCTCTTCAGATCGTCCAACAGGTGAGCCGTACACTGGTAGAGGTGAACGCTCGGGGATGGCTTCACAACGATCTGAAAATTGATAACATCTGCATCCAGAAGACCGACAAGGGTATCCAGACCACTATCATTGACTTTGGTCTGGCCACCAAGATCGGGGGAACCCTTCCAATTGTCCCAGGATCAGTGGCATCATTCCACACGGCCCCTGAGGTAGTCAAGCGCTTACCACTCACCCCTAAGGCCGATGTCTACAGCGTCGGCCGCCTGTTGCAGCACCTCGTTCCGCAGTTGAACCGCCTCGACCCTCCCGTATTGAGTTGGTTGACTCGCTCCGTCAGGATCAACCCAAACCTGCGAGACTCACTGGATGAGCTGTTGAAGGTTCTGGGTTGAACAATGTGACCCCAAGGATAAAAACAAAAAAATAGGAGGAGAGGAGAAGAGGTAAGAAGAGGAGAAGAGGGAAGAAGAGGAGAAGAGGGAAGAAGAGGAGAATAGAAAAAATCTATGAACAAGTTTTTGAGATACGACAGTTTTACCAAAATGGTTCTTTAAACTAGTCACCGTGTGATTAAGCCAGCACCATGTCAGTCACCCCTGTAAAAAAAAAATTAAAAAATAAGAGAGAGAGAAAGATAGAGAGAGAGAGAGAGAGAGAGAGAAAGAGAGAGAGAGAGAGAGAGTTGGGCTTGTCAAGGTGTGCAGCGGAGGCAGGTGTAGACAAATGGAGAAATATTAACACCTTTAGGAGACATTATTTGGAGATGGAGATTATAAACGCCTTGGGAATAAGGACGTTCAGGTGACGGGCAAGTCAAAGGGAATGATTGAAACTCACTTGTTGACGCATTCAATGTTTATTGATGTGGTCAAAACCTGCAGAGAACAAGGCGTTCATTAGTATTACCTGGTGATCCATCTGATACATAATTAGTTCGTCTCACACAATTTGTCTTAATTTTATTGATTATTAAACATACTGACATAACACAAAGATCATAACTCTATTAATCTTTGCTTCGCTTCACTCTGCATTGTCTTATTACTCCAGGTTAGGCAGAAACGAGTAGACGTAATTAGTCCACAATATTTCAGTACCGAGGGGCATGTCATCACTTATGCTGTACTTACAAGTGCGGGTCAATGCAGATCAGTATGGTGTTCCAAGAGACAACAGTACTGTGTAAATTGTCTCAGCACAAATTCTTGGACAGGACTGTGTGGTGTTTATCAGTGCGAGCAGAAGGCTGCTCCTCACAGCATCACTCGAGTGAGCGATCTCCTGGAGTCCAGGCGGCCACGCCACCCTTTTAAACCATTCATTTAGCAGAATGAGGACCTCTTCTCCGTACACACCGCCCACCCCCTTGTTCGGGTAGGGCGGCGATCGTCAACAACTGACACCAGCATTTATAAGCCAGCGGCGATAACAGAGAGAGAGAGAAGGAAATACTGAGAGAGAGAGACAATAACCTGAGGAGTTGCTGAGTGTATTAGTGGATGAAGAAGAGAATAGGTGTGGCAATAACAACAACAACAACAATAACAGGTTCTCGAGAGGTAATCCCACAAAACAGCTCAAGTCTTCACGTCACGAGACTAAGAAGGCGTGAAGTGTTGGCGTGAGGAAGGTGCGTGAGGTGTTACAATTTGACGATTGTATCAGTAAGGGGGAAAGAGATTATTACCTGTATAACAATTTACCTGAGTGTTAATTAAGGGGAACTCTCTCTCATCTGCTTCCATTTACTCCACACACACACACGGCACCCATTACCCCCCCCCACACCCTCCACCACCCCTCCCCACCCTCTCACACCCCCTCACACCCTCCCCACCCTCTCACCCTCCACACCCTCACACCCCCTCCACCACCCCCACCCTCCCACCTCACCCCTCCACACCCTCCCCCACCCCCCAAAATGTAAACATGACTCAGTATTATTTCCGGGTTGGTATAAATTTAGACGTTTAATTATCTACCGAGTTTATGAACCAAGTGTAACGGGGTTTGTTATGCTCATCTACGTCACCTGTATTACCTGTGGCCCAGATATTTAATTAACTAGGGATATTTTCCTCATAAACGCCGCCCAGGTGACCAAGGTGAGGCAGGGCGGGAGTGAGGGGGGAGTAGGGAGGGGGAGTAGGGAGGGGGAAAGAACGGGGCGGAGGTGAAGGGGAGACGGTGAGGGGGGCAGGGGGGAGGGGAGGTGACATGGGGGGGAGGGCAGTAGTAGTAGCACTCACCTCAACGTCATTCATTCATTCATCATCCATCTTCTGTTCATTCATCCATCCATCAAATATCATCACATCTACGTCACCCATCCAGCCATCTTTTCATTCATTACATCTAGGTCATCCATCCATCCATCCATCCATCCATCCATCACCCATCTCTTCAGTCATCCATCCATCACCCACCTCAACTCTCTTCAAGGACCACAACCAATGACAGGTGTTCAGTGACGTCATGATCCACCTGTTGTGTTTTGATTGGATGACGGCAATCAAAACTTAATCCACACCTTCATTATTATATTATTTACATCATTATAACAAGTTTTATTTATTTTCACACCAAGTTAATAATTTTACCAAGCCTTCAGCACAGGTAAGGTCAGCTTAGGTTGGTTAGGTCAGCTTAGGTTGGTTAGGTCAGGTTAGGTCAGGTTAGGTCAGGTTAGGTCAGGTTAGGTTAGGTCAGGTTAGGTCAGGTTAGGTCAGGTTAGGTCAGGTTAGGTCAGGTTAGGTTCGGTTAGGTTAAGACAGTTTAATCTTCAGTAAATTTATGAGGTATTTTTCAGCGCGGCTATAAGGTGCTGCCGTCACTGGTCCCTCGTTAGTCTAATGAAGGTGGAGTTAACCTGTTGTACACCTGACAAGAGAGGTAGTTAATCTGCAGGTAAATATATCTCCTTTATACCTGTGTCTTATAATGTTGTTGACCATATTTAATGATGACACAGCCAAGACAATGATGCCAAGTATAAATACACTATGTCTAATATGTCTCTAATAACATATTGTGGTATGTAGTCTCTCTCTCTCTCTCCAGGTAAAACAATATAATGACTTGATTCTTACGTGATCGCCCCCACTAACGCCCCTCACCCCCTACACCCCATCTCCCCACTCCTCCTTCCTCCCTTCCCACCCTCTCCTTCCCCCACCCTCTCCCCACCCTCTCCTCCCCCACCTCTCCTCCCCCAATTCTCTCCTCCCCACTTCCTCCCTCTCCTCTCCCCCCACAACAACAAAGATTCACGAGTTCCCCTCAGCACTAATTTATGAGCCAGATAAAGGTATTTATGTATATTCACCTCTTCTCTTATTGGCCGGATATTGTGGCGTAGAGAGGGTTTTGTGACAAGCTGGTCGGGGCCTGATGATGGTACCGGTACTGTATGTGGGCGTGTGTGTGTGGGTGTTTTTTATGTGTGTGTGTGTTTTTTGTTGTGTGAGGGTAGGGTATGTGTGTGTGTTTTTGTGTGTGTTTGTGTGTGTGTGGGTGTTTTGTGTGTGTGTGTGTGTGTGTGTGGGTGTTTGTTGTGTGGGTGTGTGTGTGTGTGTGTGTGCGTTTTTTGTTGTGTGAGGGTCGGGTGTGTGTGAGCGAAACACCATCACTACATTACTGTTATTTCACGAATGACAAGCATGCTATTGTTTTATTCACTTTCAGTTACTAGTATTTTAAAACTTTTTTACTTGTTTTACCAAATAACAAAAAAACAATATTAGTAGTTAAAGAAAAAGTGAGTCATTTTATATTAATTTACTGAACCATAAATAAACAATGACTCCCTCTCATAGCATTCGTCAATGAAGGAACTACTACTTTAATTACCAGTAGTTATCGTCGTAATGAGGTAATTTACTCAAACTAAACAACAATTAAGTGTCTGAATTAACTAAACTAGCATCGGGTCTAAACTACCCTATTCAACCATCACAGACCAGCCATGTCATCAACCTATATACAAGTCACATTTCGTTATCCTCACCAGTTACCCTGACGACATGACACAGGACAACGCTCCCCAGTCCTCACCTACCAGCTCCATGCAGTTAGTCCCAACCACCTTCGATTCCTCTACTGTTTAACTGGTATGAAATGTTCTAGTTTATATTTTTGTTTTTATTATAATATTCTGGTTTCCTTCTATTATGTCTGCTTACGTAAATTTAGGTTCGTATCCCCTAAACGTAATGAAAAGTTTAAATCATTATAATCAAGGGGTTAAATCATTATAATCAAGGGGTTAAATCATTATAATCAAGGGGTTAAATCATTATAATCAAGGGGTTAAATCATTATAATCAAAGGGTTAAATCATTATAATCAAGGGGTTAAATTATTATAATCAAAGGGTTAAATCATTATAATCAAGGGGTTAAATCATTATAATCAAAGGGGTTAAATCATTATAATCAAGGGGTTAAATCATTATAATCAAAGGGGGTTAAACTCATAGGAAGGAAAATTCGAGGGAAGATTTTTATTGGCCATTTTTAACCAGGGATAATGACGCCTTAACCCTGGCTTCTACTGACGGCGGAGTAGACAGGAGGTAATAGGTCCTTTGGATGTAGATTAAGGCACTGACGCTCACTACCAGGCGACATTAAGTTACCGTAGGCCACAGGTATTATAAGTCACAGCAGGAGAGTCACCATATTGTCACCATTATCATAAATCATCATAAATAATCCATTAAACAACCCCTAGATAAGACTTTCCCCCATTACGCCTTCATAAAACTGACCACTAAATCCGGTTCATATAAATAAGAAACACTCAACACAACCCACCTCATAAATAATAACATTTACGTATCTGAATTTAACGTCTGATAATAAGTTTGTCGTCTTATTATCGCTCACTATAGAAAACGAGGGAGAGAAACTAAATAAATAAAAGGTTTAGAAATAGCCGTGAGAAAGAGAGGATAAATACAGGAATAAGAGGAAGAGAGGATATATACAGGAATAAGAGGAAATAAATGAGATTATACTAAAACCATTTCGTGTTTGGTATAGAAAGATGTTGAGGGAAAGAAGATTAGAGGAGGAAGGGGGAGGAGGAGAGGGAGAGGTAAAGAAGGTAGGAGGAGGAGGAGGAGGGAAGAAAGAGAAGGGAGAAGGGGAGGAAAAAAAGTGCCCAGTGCCACCCCACACTGTACGAAGGGTGTGGTAGGGTGTGGTAGGGTGTGACAGGGTGTGACAGGGAGCAGAAAGGAAGGATATTTTAAGTAAAACAGTGTGACCTATCGGGTGTGGTCACGTCATCTTTATAGTACTGTCGTGTTCCTTGTGATAAGCCCGACACACACACACACACACACACACACGCGCACACACACACACGCACACACACACACACTCACACA